TAGTCTGAAATATCAACATCCCTCTCGCTTCTTGTACCGAATCACTTGATAGACAAAAGCTATGCTGCATCTTCTTTCTCCCTCTCCCTCTCAAGGTTGCAAAGAATCATGGAAATCTTTGCTACAACTTGCTTTACTAGACACGTAGGGAAGAAAGCAGACCTGCAGCTGCTTGCGAGGCTGAGACCTTGGGGAAGAGAGCTGCAGAGGGATCTCCATGCCTCGTGCGGGTCACCGATGACGACGTCGATGAGCTCGTCCCCATCACACGAGCCGTATACGTGACAATACGAGTCCGATCGTAGCCTAAACTGCCAAGTACGCAAGAGATTGGTTTTTGGACCATTCCATGTTCGCTTGAATATTAGCCGTACCGTTTCAGCGAAATAATAGTGTTTTTCTCTTACAACAAATCAGCATCAGCATCCACATCAGCCATTTTTTCAGCCAGCCGAACAGGGCCTATGCACCAAGATGACAAGTTCTTGTTCTCGATAGAGCAGATTATAAGTTGTTGGGGGTAATTTGCACCCACACGTATAGTTCTTGTGCTCCGGATGCAATTTACTCAAAAATCGGGTGTTCCCTTGCTTCTCAAACAACTGGACAAACTTTTATTTTATTATATAAATTTGATAAAACTTGAAATATTTTGATTCTTAATAAAGTTGGAATAACATAATTTGGAACGTATGGAGGAGTTTGGTTGTCCTTGAACATCGTATCTGTTCTGAACTCCTCTATTCAAGAGGTCCCGTTCGGTTTACCCCATATTCGGTTTGTTCGGCTTTTTTTTTCAGTCGGAACAGTGTTTTTCTCTCACAACAATTCAGCCAGAACAGTGTTTTCAGCCAGTTTCAGCCAAAATTCTACTAGCCGAACAGGACCAATTAATGTATTCTACTAGACACCGCACTATTGGTGATACGGTACCTACCTATCAGTAGTATGCATTATATTGAATAATAATTCAATATAGTGCAAAACCATCCATCCAATATGCATGGTCTGCTCTGCTCTGCCGCCACATTTTTCTTTCCTGAATATATCGGTTCGATCGCTTTTCATGAGCGCGTGTTCAGTTCCACCCCAAAGGCCCTGTTCAACTTACCCTATATTATCCGGCTTCTTTTTTCAGTCGGGACAGTGTTTTAGACCAGCGAACGAGGCCAAAATTTCAAAAAGTGCTACAGTATCTGTCACATCGAATGTTTGCGGCCTGTGCATGGAGCATTAAATGTAGACGAAAAAAAAACTAATTGCACAGTTTGGTGGGATATTGCGAGACGAACGTTTTGAGCCTAATTAGTCCATATTTAAACACTAATTGTCAAATAAAAACGAACGTGATACAGCCCAGCCCCCGAGCAAATCGCTCCTTCTTTTCCTTTCTGGCTGCTCCTCGGCTTTACTGTAAGTCAAGATTTGGGCCAGGCCAGCATCCTTAGCCGCCGATTTGGACCAGCACCACCAGCAGGAGCAGTTGTAAGCTGGATCCCCTCAAAAAAAAAAACAGTTGTAAGATGGATATTTTGCTCAAAAAAAGGTTGTAAGCTGGATATAACAACTGCCAACCATTCAAGAGCCCGGGTTAATCTGACGGATTGATGATGGTTTAATCTGACGACCTAGGTTATCTTCAGTTCGATTCAAGAGCCCACCATTCAAGGATATCTCTATCTCTATCTACAACTAAAAAATTCCTACGGTCAACATCTACCCGGCAGGACGATATGTTGTGCGACCTTCGCTTCACCCCGACATATGACTCCCCCGGCGATTCCTAACCGCACGGAATGATCACCTGCCTGATTGGTTCGTGCATGCAAGGAACGCTCGTGCATGGAAGCAAACAAATCGATCACCTACCTGATTGGCTCGTGCATGCAAGGAAACATTAATCATGCGGTTCCCCTCCCCCCCTCTCGCTCGGTGACCGCACGGAAGCAAGGGAAAAAAAATCGATCTAACTGCCTGACTGGCTCGTGCATGAAGGAACGCTCATGCATGGAACAAAACAAATCCATCGCGACCCGGGCGGGCACGGATATCTCTCATCGTAAACCGGATCCTCGATCCACGCCAGGCCATCATTGACGTGCTCCTCCCGTCCTTCTCGTCTGCTCTCACAAATCCACGCCAGGCCATCATCGACGACGCCGGACACCACGCCGCCGCCGCGCAGAACCCGGCCCGCCGCACGCAATGCACTAAGAGGCCCTCGGCGCTGCTGCGCTAACAGTTAAGGCGACTGCAACTGCTTTATCAGGTGTGGTTTATGATTTCATCCTATTCTGAATGATAAACTTTATTTTCCTTCAACTTTCCTTAGAAATGATTTGATACTAATCGGATAAGTCAAGATATATATTTTTTCAAGATATATCAATAGTACTTTAACTTTAAAAATTAACAAACAACTTATGTGCAGGATACTTCTAACTACAGCTTCAACTATCTGCATACTTTAGCTGCAAGAAGTTAGATGCCGCATCTTAGACTTGAAAATCTTCTGGATTATCTTTGATTGGTGACCAGCTGCAGCTTGGTGTTCGTGCAAAGCACGTTCTCTTGGTTGAAACATTGAGAGATTAGATTCTTAATTGTGTAAAACATGTATTGTAAAACACAAACTTGTTATGATTAAGGTGAATGCTCGTGTATTGCAACTTGTAAAACATCACGATTGCAGGATCTATTTTAGATACAGTATAACACGCGCTCATACATATGTTATCGTGATATTATGTGTACCCGTTGCAACGCACGGGCATTTAACTAGTAACAACAGAATTAACTGCCAGCCAGGAGAGCGAGCATATAGAATCCAAGCGTCGATCTGTCATTATCACTATTCTCCTTCTTGTTACTATTATTATATAGCGTGGTACGCTTTCTCTTGATAGACATAATTCAAATCTAGGGCTTTCATATTAGGGCACTTCCAATAGCCACCTCTAAGCTGATATTAGATGCCACGTGGAGGAGAGAGAGGTCAAAATTTTTTGAACTAGTGGGAATAGAAGAATGTGTGTCCCTATACACAAGGGATATATACATCTCATATATTTTTTTCTTGATAGGAGAGAGAATATAAAGAACAATTTATACATGTATAAATGATGAGATGATATCTAAAAGTCAGGTAGCTAGCTTTTACTATCGGAGGTGCCCTTAGTTTTTTTTTTTTGCACTACAATCATCGCTAAATTAGTCAGACTTGGAGCCATGGCCATTTGAGCCTAGTGTTGCAATTGCAATGCCATCGATATCGGTGGTCATATATACTTGTCATTGAGCTTGTCTTGTTCGTTGATATTGCGTCTGTCTCGGTCATAATGCTTCACTGCTTTTCTATTTTTTTCCTGATCTTCTTTGGTCATCTTCCATTAAATGCATGTGTGTGTAATGGACTTATACATTGACTAAATATGTGTTGTCTTCTTTTGTTGATATTTGGCTTTATTTTTTCTAATAAAAATGGTAGATGCAAGATGTAGAAAACCATGATTGGCAGTGTATGTAATTTATAAATAAGTACAAGAGTATTTTGAGTTATTTTTACCATGATGGTAGTAGCAATTTATAAATAGGTATAGAGATATTTTGTGTTATTTTTTCGTAATGCCATTGATGCATGACTTTATTTTTTCCTTTAATTAGCATGATAATTTATAGGCCTTTTTTTGCGACTTGATAATTTATAGGCCTTATTAAGAGCAAGTAGAACATTTTTCCCTTAGCCAAATACTAAAATAACATATGCTCAAACCATGATCCAGTCGAACTTTTAAAGCTTTGATCATCAATTTCAAAATATAGGCTCAATAGAAGAAGAGGTTTACTTTCATGATTCGTACGTTCATTGCACACTCCAGGTTTGTAACCATATCCTAATAATAAAAGGAGCGGTAAAAGTTGTTTCTAAACACCATTAGAAAAAGGTCTGTTTTTACGGGAAAATTGTAGCCATAATGTTGCTTCTAGATCATTTTAGAAGAAAAATAATAGAAAGTTGCTAGAGAAGAATTATGAATGCAGGGATGCCCTCTGTCAATCAAATTGTTTTCCCATTTCCTATATCCGCCAAGATTCAGTCAACTCTGTAGCAGCACTAGTTCTATTTGAATTAAAAAAAACTCTAAATTCACTTGATTTCGCTCGCTTGAAAGTTCTGGTTGGAAGCATCTGAAATCCACTTCGTCAAAGCATTTCATGCACTGACCTTTGATTGACATTTGTGATTTGAAACCGGAGCAAATGAAGGGGTTTGTATTGCCCATGAGATGCAGTCACAAGTCTAGTTACATTTACATAACACTATAACAGCATTGCTCCCTTACCATCACAACTTCCTTGTTAATTACACACCAACCTGCCAAGAAAATCAGCCCCTGCTGCCCTATTCATACACCTGAAGAAAATCTGGATACAAAAGAAACAAATATATGCTTGTTTAAAAAAATATATTAGTAGTACTAATGAAGGGCAGGCCTGGTGCAGTGGTGAGAGTTGTCTCACTGAGTCAACAGGTCGTGGGTTCGAAGCAGCCTCTCCGTAGATTTTGTGGGGGAAAGGGGAAAGGCTTGTCTCGGTTTATCCCTTCCCCAAACCCCACTCATGTGGGAGCCTCCGGCACTGGGTCTGTCCCTTTAGTAGTACTAATATGGCGGAACAAGATCATAAGAATCATTCATATACCAGAGTAGTGTATAGTCAGCCATCAATTCAATACCGAAAAATCATTCATGTGATACATCATGGGTGGCAGAACTTGACACTCAAATGCCTACAAGTTTCATCATGCTACCTAGGAAACTACATGAAGAAGGATCATAAACATGATCAATGCCCAGCTAGAGTTGGCAAATCAGACTCATCCTCACACCATTTGACATGGCAGAACAAACAAAGAGCCTTCATCTGCGATTTATGTGCTATATGCACAGCCGATCCTATCAACTAAAACACCTGCAACAACCTTTTACACCACAACCAGATCATTTCCGTGGTTTGACAGCTTCGATGTGCAGCAACTCGGGAGGCAATGATGCAGGATCAAGTTCCCAGCAATCCCCAGGAGGCAGAGTCGATCCCTCACCCTTGGGCACCTTCCTGGCCGGTATCTGATGCGAAAGCACCCCAAGATCATCCTTCTGAAGGAAGTGTACAGCATGGCTTCCGATGTCCCGGCGTGTGAAGATGCTCCTGAAGCCTTCCACCTTCTCCAGGTACCCGAAGCTGGCACCATACCGCTCATCGTAACCACTGAGCATCACCACAATGTCATACTTTGTCCTCGCTGCATCGCCCTCCTCGCCACCATGGAGCGCCCAAACCGAGGCCTTCCTGGGATAAACCTGGTACACCTCCCTTGCCGCCCTCTCGCAGGCCAGAAGGTGGGAGAAGACGTTCACTGAATGCACGGTCTCTGCTCTCCCAACCTTGAACTGCCCGCATGGCTTCCCCTCCTCGCCATCCAGCCACCGTATCTGCACTCTGAATTGGGTACCTCGCTGCACCCCATCCACCAGCGCATACTGGCGTGGCATGCCGTCGGCGTCGGCGTACAAAGCCCAGAGTTGGCCTCTCTTGAAGCACCTCTCGCCGCGGTTGGCGTCGAAGTTGTAGAAGTCAGAGTCCTCCACGGCCATCAGGTCCGAATGGTTGTTCTCCGCCTCAGCCTCCTCGCCGTCCTCCTGCTCCTCTTCATCATCATCATCTTCATCCACCACCACCAAGTCTCGGGAAGAGCTCTCCGAAGCCTTTGCGCCCCTCCTCTTCTTGGCGAGCTGGAGCTGCATCTCGGCGAGCGTCATTTCCAGCTTCTCCGTATTGGGCTTCTTGGCCGCCGCCGGCCGCCGAGGCGCAGGCGCAGGCGCAAGGGCAGGGGGTTCGGCCTCCGGCGGAGGCGGGACCTCGACGGCGAGGAAGGTACGGCGGCAGGAGGGGCAGATGAGGCGGTATCCCACATACTTGCGCTCGAACTCGTGGAGGAGGCGGCATCCGGCGCAGGCGGTCCAGAAGGTCCCGGGGGGCGGGGCGGTGAGCGCCTCGTAGGCCTCGGTGGCGCGGCCGAGCGCCTCCTCGGCGGCGGCGGAGGAGGGGTAGGCGGCGGCGTAGTCGGGGCAGACGCGGAGGGACTTGACGAGCGACTTGAAGTGGCGGCGGAGCTCGGAGGCGGAGAGCGGCGAGGCGTCGGGGTCGTCGGGCTCGGGCAGCAGGAGCGAGGCGTGGTGGGAGGAGGCGTCGGCGAGGAGCACGTTGGCGGCGGTGGCCACCGCCGAGGCGCGCGGGCAGGACGGGTACAGGCGGGAGGCGCGGAGGGCGTGCCTGCGCGCGGCCCGGAGCCGGCCCGCGGAGAGCTCCGACTCGGCCAGCGAAAGGAGGTGCTCGGCCTCGGCCGCGGATTCGGGCCCCGGCGCCGCGGCGGCGCGCGGGGCGGGAGGTTTGCCGGCAGCCATCGGTGGGGAGGGTCGCCGGCCGGGGGTTTTGGTGGGTGGGTTGTTCTGTGAGACAAATGGGCTTTTCGGTGCTTGGGGTTTTGGGCCTTGATCAAAACAGTGAGTTTCTTGCCTCCTGCCTGTTAACATGGGCCTAGGAGCTTTTAAAGCAAAGAAATATGTTTTCCTTCCTGATAAATCACACTAAGTTGAAAAATTCAAGGAGTTAAATCAGATAAAAATATCCAAAAAATCATTTATTTTTTTAAATTTTATCCAAATATATTTTTACTTGGAAAAAATGCAATAAAAAATTCTAAAATCTAGTTTATACTCAAAATTCCTATAAATTTTGCTTTTGCTCGGAAAGTTATAAAATTTTGGGTAGTTTAAATGGGTAGTCCAAGTTTGAACAAAATCCTGAAACCTTGCTAGAGACTTCGGAAAATAAGTGATGATGTCAGCCTCACACTGTAGCCGCTGTTGCTTCAAGCTGAAGCCAATAAACCCAGAGCCCGGGAGCCGAACCCATCCACTGACATCCCCGCTCGCGCGATAAGCCCCAAAATTTCAGAGCGCAACGCTAGGGTCGGGTGGGATGGCATCTGGTGGCATCGCCCGCGGCCGACTGGCCGAGGAGCGCAAATCGTGGCGCAAGAGCCACCCCCATGTGCGCTCCACCACGATCTGCGCTTCTGCTTCGCCGCGCCTGTACTAGTTCCTTGCCGTTATTAATCTTTGGGGGCGTTTGTTCTTTGTTTGATTCCTTAGGGGTTCGTGGCGAAGCCGGAGACGCTGCCGGATGGGTCGGTGAACCTCATGGTCTGGAAGTGCGTCATCCCCGGCAAAGAGGGCGTAAGCCAAAACTCACTCCCCAATCCCCACTCCTAGATCTTCGCTGCCCCTTGTGTTTGGCCATGTCAGGACACACGCGAGGTTTGTTCGATTTTGTCGGCTTGTCGCGCTGCGTATGGTTCCATTTTTCTCCTACCTGAAAAGAGGACAACGATTTGTCTAGTAAAGGTAGAATGCTTTTGTACGGAGTATTCCTGAGCTGGCCTGCCTTTTTTTTTCCTAGTTGTTTTTTCATAGATTGATCCAGAACCCTAGCTTCTGGACTGCGCCCTTGCAACCACTGCATGTGGAGCATTTGTACTGTTAATTGTTGGCAGATGAATATGAGGAGCATAATCCTGCAAGCATGTTCATGCTGCATTGTCCTATTAGTGTTCTGGAGTAACTAGATGTTCATGCTGCAATGCTGCATAATCCTATTAGTGTTCTGGAGTAACTAGATGGACTATATATTTGTGTTTCATTATTTGGGACCAAATGTCTTCTTTCCAGTTGGTTACAAGTGCCACTGTATTCTGAGTGTACAATGTAGGCCCTCTTTGGAGGACTCGTCCTAGGTTCAGCTTCAACATTGTTGGGCTACTGTGTGTGCTGCAGCAGGAGCTGGATGAAGCTTCAAACCACTAGCTTTTCCGGCTTCACCTGCTTTGTGCTACAGCAACTCAACTGTACCTTTACCAGAGAAGCCAGGTCTTTTGGGTCTGCTTCCTAATTGATTTATTTACTATGTCTTCATAGAAAAAGAACTATTTCAACATGTTTTTTTCCAAAACAGAAACATGCAGAGGGTATAATATGACAAGATTTCCGTAATTCAAGTTTTTCGAATTCCTAGCCTTACACAAAACAGAAAAGCTTATCCAACACCGGTTGAGATGGTTTGGACATCTCCAATGGAGACCTCCAGAGGCACGGGTGCGTAGTGGAATCCTAAGCCAGGATAGTAACGTGAAGAGAGGCAGAGGAAGACCGAAGTTGACTTGGGTAGAGGCAATAAAAGGAGACTTGAAAGGATGGAATATACCCAAAGACTTAGCCTTAGATAGGAGTGCTTGGAAAACAGCTATTCACATGCCTGAACCTTGATTGCTTCTGCTGGGTTTCAACTCTAGCCTACCCCAACTTGTTTGGGACTTAAAGACTTTGTTGTTGTTGTTGTTGTTGTTGTTGTAGCCTTACACAAGTAAGTTAGAATCTCATTAGATTCTGGCTTCCATATGATAAGGGATCTCTGTATCTTTGATTCAAAGAAACTCTTTGTCTGGAACAGTAGGTTATCAAGTCATTCATTGATCATGTTTTATTTTTAAGGAGGTTGATTGTGTTATGGACGGGACAGGAAGTTCAGAAGTAAGTATCATTGGCACTGGAATAGAAAGGAGTTGGATTTTCCTAGTTCAGCAGCCAAATCAGATTCGGCTAGAACAATGACTCACTAATATAGGCATACTGCTATTCTTAGTATGTTTGGGTTGGAGTCTCTATTTCCAATTTTGTCTTCTTTTCCAGATTATCTAGCCATCCTTTTATATAAAGATAGTTATAGTACTCCCTCCATCCACAAAAGGATGCAACTATAGGATTTGTGCAAGTCAAACTAGCTTAATTTTGACCAAATTTATAGTCAATAGTATTAACATTTATATCTTCAACTAGGTTTACTACGAAAATATATTTCATGATTAATTTAGTGGTACTTATTGTGTATCATAAAGGTTAGTACTTTTTTTACATAACTTTGGTCAAACTTTAAATCATTTGACTCCTCGAAAAGTGATAATTGCGTCCTTTTGTGGATGGAGGGAGTATTGTTCAGGGTTACCAGCAAACAAGTAATACAGAAAAGGGCCTGGCCGCCAAACATGAGTTCTATCAGAGCCTCGTAGTGCCCACTTGTGATCAGGCCGACGAGACAATCTAGCATCTATTGGTTTCCTATGTATTCACACGGCAGGCCGTGTTTGAAGGGCTGATGCAATTCTGGCCCTGGTTCAGCGATGGACGCGGCCCCTTTGCAAGCATGTTGGCAGACAGCTGCATGACGGGTGCCCAAGAAGTCCATGAAAGGATTCCATGGTGTCCTCTTGGCAAGGATGGTCTAGAAACACAGGAACCGCTGCGTCTTCGATGGCCAATTGGCCATGGACCATCAGTCAGGCAGGTGCTTCAGGAGGCTGCAGATCAGGCACACCTCTAGTATTTGGACGACCAAGGGACTGAGGGAACTTCTGCAGTAGACAGGGTAGATTTGGCTGTTCCTGGCCGTGGATTCGGCTTGTACTTGGTCTGTTTTTCTATCTATTAATGGAATGAGGCACAATTCTCCTTCATGCGAGAAAAAAAAATCAGAGCCTCGTAGTTATTTGAGACAAGCCCTGCTCTCAATAGCAGCGTGTTGCTCACCCCAGCATTATCTCCTTGTCTGCTTCCCACACTATAGGATAGATGATTTACTAGATTTTCAGTTACTCGGAATTCAGAAAGTCAGATATTGCAGTTATTTTTTAAAAAATAAACCATATTGTAGGTTGAATCATTTAAAAAAAAATAGTCTGAATAGTGAATATTCAGGATATCACTGAAGTAAGAAAGCAATTGAGCTATCCTTATTTTTTTTCGAGAACATGTCTGTTGACGCGTATTTCATTAAGAGGAGAATTGAACTATCCTTATGATGAGGAGGTACGTGTGAAGACATGCTTATTAGGTACGAAGCACTTTATCGTATATGTACTAGGCTCCCACGTGCCCACGTGGAATTGCTTAGTTAATCTGAGCACTATTTGGTTGGCACAGTATTTTTAATTGAATTTTTAGCATAACGACATTTGAAATGAGTTGATCTGGCAGTAATGACTAATGAGGATCCCTTATGGGACAGAAGCATGAGTGAATCAACTGATATTCTGACATACCATAGTATTGCGGCCGGTTTCGCTCCCTAGAACCAAATGAGATGCTTTGGCAGTCCTATTCAAGACTGGTTAGGAAAACATGCTTTGGCTTTTGAAACTGTTTACTACTTCGTTGATAACTCTGTAAAACAGTAATTTTGTAAGATATGGTCGTTACTTGAAAGGCTAGACAGCAGTCAACGGAAATATTTCTTAAACTATAGTTTAGTTTGTTATGATCCATTGTTTGTGGTGCCGATTCATATTTTATATTCACATTTCAATAGTTCTGTGGTGCACATGCTGACAAATTTTATGTTATTTACTAGTTGCATAGTGTTGTCTTGTCTTCCTCCTACAACAAATTGTCACACTCCACTCGTTCTCGATAGCCCTCCATCCCAGTCATGGAACACAAGTTAAATTATGTGTTTGATCCATCTTTGTGCAGACCGACTGGGAGGGTGGATATTTCCCCTTGGCTCTGCATTTTCCTGAAGATTACCCAAGTAGCCCTCCCGTCTGCAAGTTTCCAGCAGGATTCTTTCATGTCAATGTCTACCCTACCGGAGCAGTGTGCCTATCAATACTTAGCAGTGTAAGATTTTTTTTTATCCACATATCTGTTGATTGTACCCCATGCAGTTATGATCGCATGGCCTTCATGAGTCATGACTTAAATGTTCTTTCAGGCGTGGAAGGCTTCCATCACGGTGAGGCAAATTCTCATAGGCATTCAGGACCTACTTGATAACCCTAACCCAGCCTCTGCTGCACAAGATATATGTTTTCGGCTCTACAAGAAGGTGTTTATCTAACTTCTTGTTTGAACTGCGATATACGCTGGGACTTTCTTAATTTTAGTTTTGATCCTGCCCTTATCACTTGGTTCATTTGTGCTGGCATTTGCAGGATCTGCCGAAGTACAAGGATCATGTTCGTCAGCAGGCGAAGCGCTATCCTTCAGTTGTGTAGCCAGGGGCTTACCGCGTGAAAGATTCAAGCAGCTAACCATTACTCATTTTGGTGGAAACGGTCGCAATTGTGCTTACTATTCACCGTAGGGGTAAAGTCCGGTGATCCTGATAAAACAAGCTTTGAGCACATCCTATGCACCTGTTATTATGACTTGTGTTAAACATTAGGAAGGCGCTTTTGTTCTGCTGTGCCTTAACTGTTTCATGAAAAGTGAAAGGGATCACCATATTTCAGTTCAGTCAGAATAGATCCAGCCCAAATTGGTGGAAGAGAGGCCTGAGTGAGTGGGCCTGGTGGTGCTTCCAAATATCTAACTCACAACCTCCAATCTAGGAGAACCACCATTCCTGGTTCCAAGTCAACAAAGCTTCCACCATTGTTAATTCTGCTTCTGTACTTGCACCGGCTCTTGAAAATGCCCTGTTTGGCTATCCCTCCCTGCTGGATCCAGGCTGGGCCAGTCCATGAGGACAGTGACAAACGGGTGCCATTTCGTGAGGAAGGAAACAACTGAAAGCGATTAAACACACGTACATATATGCCTTGCCCTATTGGTGCTCTGAATTTGGATCGCATAGACTTGGCTATATGTGTTATGTAATCGCAGGTGGGGATCCGGTTCGCTGTATGTGGGTGGATGCTGTGCCTGTGCAGGACCAAGCTGTGCGTGCATGAGGGTATGATGACGAGGCGGTCGTCGTAGCCACTTGATCGCTGAATCGATGGTCCGGATCACTGATCAGGACAATGTAAAAACAGGTTCAATGTTTAACAGAAACAGTGAAGACATCTGGACAATCGGATCGGACCGCAGTACAATTTTCTTTAGCTTAGCTCTTTTGCAGATCTTTTCATGGTTCAGTTATGGTTTTCTGGAGGCTATTATATTCCTGAACAACTAGCGAACAAAACAACGAGCACACCACTTTGATTTTCTCGTATACCACTCGTGTTAGAAAATGAACAGTAGCCAGCCTAGGAATCACTATCAAATCAAACACGATACGGCCGATCAGGAATTGTCCATGTTTTATTTCTGTCTTCTGAATAGGAAATGCGAGTGGAAAAGGGATGCTTCATTCTCTGGACAACCGAGCAAATTTCCTGAGGATTCATTATATTATACTCGTATATTTTAGGCGGCGATTCTGCCCACTTTGAGCTCGCAACCCCGGCCAAACAAGTGTACACTCAGCACCCCGAAATAAAACTACCTTTGCCGCTGTTTCAGACAGAGCTTTGTCAGGTAGCGTGCTGGAGCTGGAATAAGGCACAGCACATGTAACTCGATGGTGACTTTTCCAAATGGCTTTGGATCTCTTGAGATTGAGACTCACTCGTGCTTTTTATTTTATTGCCGAACACTTGCATACCTCGTCGCAGAGGTACTACTACTCCGGCTGTCAAATACTAAATCTGAGTTAGGCCGGAGCTGTGTGCCTCCATCATTGGCAGGTGACTTTCTGGAAGCCAAAACGCGGCTCCAAACGCACAGAATAGGATCTTGACAGGCTCTCATCCTGCGCTGCACCTGCACCTGCACTCCATCTCGCAATAGTTGGGTGCCGAAAGGACGGGATAAAGGGTACAATTCGTTCGGCGAGATTACTAGCGCGGAAAGCGAGAGCAATATGGTCCTGCTCCTGTCCTATCGGGAAGATCTTTTTTTATTGCGTTCACTGAGAGGAGGCGCGGGTGGCAATGGGCAATGGCATGGCTGTTAAGCCTTGTTTAATTTCACCCTAAAATCCCAAAAAGTACTACAGTATCTGTCAAATCGAATATTTACGATCTATGTATGGAGCATTAAATGTAGATAAAAAAAAACTAATTGCACAGTTTATGGGGAAATTGCGAGACGAACGTTTTGAGCCTAATTAATCCATGTTTGAATACTAATTGTCAAATAAAAACGAACGTGCTGCATTAGCCCCAAATTCCAAATTCATGGAACTAAATACTAAAGGGCACGCAAATTCTTCAGCGACTTTTGTGCTGCTACCACTACTGACGGTACTGACCTGAATGCCGATCTACCCTCAGTTACGCCGTCGTCCGTGCAATTTCTCTTGCTACTGCCGTACTCTAGTACAGCGTGGTTAATCTTTTCCCTGCTCTGGTTCGTCCTGGATATTCTTCATCAGAGCGTACAAATTTTTCCAGGGTAGAAGAGGAGGCGTTCATTCAGAAATTTCAGAGTGTAAAAGAGGCGTTCATCAGTGTTGAGAAGCAGGGTGAGAATGCGCGGAGGAAGGCTGTCAGAGAAGTCATAGAAATACTAGAACGGGCCGGGAGGGTTTGTGATTGTGATGCTATGTGGGGAGCACGCGCGCAAGTTGCATGCGATGCAACTATTTCTTTCCAACAAAGCACCGGCCGCCCCTAGTAGAAATATAAGAAGAATTCGATCCGCTCCTGCTCCTGTGATTTGGTGGATGGCGGTGGGTAGACGCCGTCGTCGACGAAGCTTGGGAATATTTGAGGCGTCGGAAGAATCTCTGCCTCACTATCGATGGACTGATTCCTGCTTCTAGGCGAAGGCCAGGGACGAATCAATCGCACCAGACCTGGAGTCCTGGGCTCGTCCAGTCTAAACCCCTCGCGCCAACCCTGAATCTTCCTCTCCCTCCGGTCGCCGCCGACCGGCTTCTCTTTCACGACCGGAACCACAGCCGGAGAAGTACAGTAGTAGAGTATACCTGCCTCATTAATCGTTGGAAAAACAGCTGCTGCACTGCACGCACTCGTTTAGGCCTTGTTTACTTACTCCCAAAAAGTTTACACCTTATTTCATTGAATGGTTGACACATACATGGAGTATTAAATATAGATTTAAAAAATAACTAATTGCACGTAATATGATTACTTTGTGAGACGAATCTTTCAATCCTAATTAGTGTATGATTTGACAATAAATGCTACAAACACATATACTAATAACGAAATAATTAGGTTTAATAAATTCATCCCACGATTTACCGACGAATTCTATAATTTATTTTTTTATTAGTATCCGAACGTCACGTAACACTGACATCCAAAACTTTACGCGCCGTAAGACGGCAGCAGGGAGAGGCCGCAGCACCGAATCGTCCAGGCACGCGCTGGAAAACGTACGAGACGGGCGGTTACGCACGCGACGGCATACTCTACGCGCGGCGGGGCCCACTGATCCAGCGGTAAGGCCTGTACGTAGGCTGTAGCAGGCGGGCGCGCGCGGCTGCAGTTGGTCTGTTTCCTTTTCGTCTCGCCTGCTTGAATGCTCCGGCCCGTACGCGATGGGAACTGCTGGGCGGCAGCGTATGGCCGTGTGCGTCCCAACTCGACGGCGCCGTCGCGTCGGTCGACTACACCTACACGAGTCGATCGCCCTCAGGCCACAGCTGCCCTCGCGCTCGCTCGCTCGCCCCGGGTCCCCGGACCCCCCGGGCCCCGGCGCGCGCCCGGCCAAGTTGATTGGGTGGCCAATGCAAGTGGGGCACCGTACATGCTCCGTCCGTCCGTCCGGCTCGTTCAATAAAGCTTCCCGCCATCGCCTGTTCTGCGACTGCCCCCCCCATCCCCCATCCTTGTCAAGCGCACAGTTTTGTGATGGGTAGTGGCTCCGTGGCCCGGCTGCCGACCACTTGAAGCTCTCTGGGACGTGGGATCGAGCGTGTTTCGAGCTGCGGCGAGGATGCGGTGTGGGGTCGGTCCATCAGACGGCTGGAGCGCGACGGAAGTCGTCGTCGTCGAATTAAATGTGATCTCAGGCAGCGTCCGGTGTCGCTTTGATGCGTGCGAGCGAATTCCGAATCCCTGACCCTGCCGATAGTTGTTGTACGTATTGCTTTCGTTTCCCGTACACGTAGACGTACGCCGAGCGTGAGACCTTCTCAAATCCTGGAGCTCTAGGACGAGAGGTGTTCACGTGACTGCGACTGCGAGGTCGTCAGTGTCTCAGTCTGTCCGACGGAGAGGTTCTTACCCTCGCCTGTAGTAGGAGTACTACCACTAGGGCCTGGTAGGGGCCAGCAGTAGTAGTAGGCCTTGTTTAGATTGAAAAAAAAATTCAATCTGATAAATAAGAGAGGTTTATTTGGTATATCATTCAATCGCCAACCAAGTAAAAGATTCATCTCGTGATTTCCAACTAAACTGTGTAATTAGTACTTTTTTACCTACATTTAATGGGCCTGGTGAGGGAAAAAAAAACTTAGTAGTATCTATAAACAAGCGATCGAACGCATCGACACGACACGGGTTTGAATGTTTCGCCAGTCCCCTCATCAGTCGACACAGAAAACGCCTCGAGCCCTTCATGCAGGACAGCAGGGTGATGATGCCGGGGGACGGAGGAGGGAAAGAGACGGCTGCCAGTGAAACGGCGTCAGTAGGACGGCATCACAATTGACAATCCCGAGATATTGGAACGGGTCACGTACTCACGTCTGACGCGTGAGACCAGACCCGACCTGGTCGCGCAGCGCAACGCATGACAGTGCTGTGTCAAAACTCAAAAAAAACCTCCTTCCCCGTCGCTGTCAAGCAAGCGCCTGATGCGTTTTCATTTACCTCGGATGCCGGCTGGAATGACGAGCCGGTTTTTACGCGGGTGTTAAGCGCCATGGTTAATCTCTTCTACTATCTATTGCTGTGCTGTGCTGTGCATGAATGCTATGGTCGATCGATGCAGCCGGTGACATCGTTACGACAGCGAAATGAATGAGATCTCCATCCAAATATACTATACACCACAGGGGTCTGCCGGTACACTGTACACGTACAGGTACAGCAGCGACAACACCAGTACGCTGTCCGTCACGTGTATATATATATATATATATAGCCTTAAAACGGCACCCGTATTCTACATTCTCTGTCGCAGCGTGCCAGCGTACACGCGCCTCTCCCCACCCTGCCATTAACGAAAACGAATCATTAGACGAGGCATGAACAGGGGAAAGGGGCGAAAGGCCCTCCTGCTGCCCTGCGGTACGAGTACTCCTACGCCGTAGTAGCGCGGTCCCACCAGACGAGGCTCGCGGTCGCAGTCACTGACAGCAACAGTGTGGGGGTGCGGGGTGTTGTGCGGTGTCCCGAACAAAAAAAAATCCGGGCAGAGATTCCTCAGTCAATTCGTCAGTCCAACTGCCGAACACACGCCGTGGACAGCAGCAGGCACAACACGCTCCCGCCTCCCGCCTCCCGCCTCCCGCCTCCCGCCTCCCGCCTCCCGTCCTCTCCCTCCTCCGTTAGGTTTGGTCACCACCAACAAATATGATATGAGGAGAGAACAAAGGATGGACGTGATAGATGGCCCATGACCGGCTCCTGTAGCGGCTTTCTGCCGATGAAACCTGCCACCAATCGCCCAGAAGGAGGTGCCGCTAGGCGCTAGCGCTAGTAGTGTCGTGCCCTTTTCCGAGCAGCTCTGTTTTTGCAGCTGACGTGCTCGTCTTTCAGCTTCATTCATATAGTCGCCACTAGTTACTGCTGTTACAATTGTGGTGTTAGTAAAAGGATTCATTTGCAGAATACTTTTTTCCACTGGTGGTAGCCAGGTAGCAAGCCAGGCGCCGGGTTCGACGGGTGGAAGGAAACACTCGAGGCCAGTGAAAATTTTGCATTTTAGTCCTTTTTGAAAACTTATTTTATAAATAAACCCTTCATGAAACATTTCTAAAAATAGACCAAAGTTCGGCGTACAATAACTTTACGCCG